AGGTGATTCAGTGGCCTAGCAAAATGCATATAAGGAATGGCTAGATATCAAAAGAGAAGCTCCATTGGTTAGGAAGCAGTTTTTTAGGCCAAGCAGTTTCATTATTTCTGAGAGCAAGAAAAGGCACACATTTCTAGAGACTCAAATTCTGCCCAGTTGGTGGGTCCGTATCACACAATGTCTGGCCCCGTGTGACACAGGCCCAACCACTCATCAGACTCCACCCAGCCATTCCATCGAGGTGGCCTGGAGCACACAGGGACATCTTGGACACTCCACCATGAGCAGGGGCATATGACCGGTGTTTCTCTGCCAGCCCAGCCCCTGGCTGGTGACCACCTCCACCATGGCCTCCATCACTTCCCATCAGAATTATTTGCCCACATAATGACCCCTATGTGCCTGTGAGTGTCTCAGGGACAGGAACCACTGTCTACTCATTTTTATTTCCAGTGCAGACATTTGTTGGGTTTCTTGGATGCTCAGAATGTGGAATTTCCCCCCCACATGCATCTGGAGGGAGCCAGAATGCACCTCCCACTATAAAAGCCAAGATGGCCACACACTTAATTACGACCTCCCCGAACCCAGCACATGATACAGGCACATGACATGGACTGGGCCAACTGGATGCCCCCATCCAGACTGGATCAGAAACCAGGGGCCCTAGAGAGGCAGGTAAGTATAGACTCCACTCCGCACATCATGCCACGTCGGCTTCCAGGGCAACAGAGGAAAGAAAGGGGTTCAGAGGGCGTTGCAGAATCCTCTCTGAGCTGGGTCCTGGTGGGGGGGGGGGTCTCAGCTTCTCCTGATCCAGCCCATTCTCCAAGTCTGGCTCTACAGCATTTCCAGACATTCTGTGAGCTTCCCCATATCTTTTAAAGAATTGCTTTTCTTCAACCCTCCTGGAATGGTTTCTGTAGCTTAACCCGAGAATCTCCATAACATATGCCCAGAACAAAAGATAAGCAACAGCGTTCAGGCTGGAATACTGAGCCTTCAGGATCTGAGTAGTCAGCTACCTGTACAAAGAGCTTCCCGCCTTTCTCAGCTGCCCTCTCACTATCCTTCAGATTGGTGAAGGAGCTCCTCCCTGGTGCCGCTTGTAGCCTTGATCCACCCAAACTGCATGCCCCAAAAGCTGGAGCCCTCCCAGCCTCCAAGGCCACAAGCCTGCCTTCCCACGCAGCCTTGTTGGAATCACAGGGGAGCCAGGGCCTGGCTAGGCACCCACAGAAAACCCCAGTCTCATCTCCAAGGAGGAGTCACCTGCACCTTTGGCTTCCTATCTTCCACCTGCTAACTCCACCCACCCCGGCATCACACTCTTGCTCCCAACTCTCAGAAAAGTCTGTAAACCTCTTGATTCGAAACAAAAAGGGAAGTAGACTTGGAGATTTCTGACTGTCCGGTCCCTGAAAGGCCTGGCTAAGAATGTCCTGGGAGGTGGGCTGAGGACATAGGGCCTCGAGTTCCCACCCAAAACAGCCTCCACCTGCCAACCCCTTCCTTGTTCTCATCTCCTGGGCCCTGCCAGGTCTTCTGTCCTGTCAGCCTCCAAGTCCACCGTGATGTCATCAGCCTAACTGTGATGTCACCATGTTTCACATCCCTGTGGGGTAGCTCAGGCATAGAACTACAGCCTCTTAGCCAGGGAACCTGTGCAGATACCTGGACCCAGATGAGAGACCCAGGCCAAGGCAAGTCCTCAGTGACCACAGGGGGGCTTGGGAAGTGCTTGTGGATGGGAGAGAGGATTCGGAGCCTTCAGGGATAAGCGGGGGGCACCAGAGAGGCCTTTGACAAGAGCTGGAGGGCTGGACAAGGGTCTTCAGGCTCCTGGCTCATGGACGCTTACTTTCTTCTTCGTTCTGTTAATTACAAGATAAAACATACTAGCGGTAAACATTTCAAACAGCAGAGAACAAAAAGACAAAAAAAAAAAAAAAAAAAAAAAAAAAAAAAAAAAAAAAAAAGGAAGCTCCCCTCCTTCACAATTTCCTAGGGACCAATGTGAATTTTTTGGTGTTTAGCCCCTGACATTTACATATGAACCTACAAACGAGTAAGTGAACTTTTCAACTTTGTTTTTATACAACCTAGTTTATAAGATACATATACTTTTCTGTAGCTCTTTCCATCCAACAATCTGCTGTGACCATCATTTCATGCAGAACAAACACATCTGCCTCCTGCTTTTTCCTGATTGCATAGTGTTCCACAGCAGGGTTGGACCAACTGGCATTCCTGTAGTGTGGACTCCTCAGTTCTTCCCTCTTCCACACAAGGTTGGAAAAGACCTCCGTATGGAAGTAGTATGCAGAGTGATTAAGAACACTAGCTGGGACTTAATCCCAGCTCTGTGACCGTACGGTAAGTCACTTAACCTCTCTGTGCCTCTTTCCTTATCTGTCAAGTGAGGATAATAATAGTACTTGCTTCACAATGTTCTTTTGAGGGGCACCTGGGTGGCGCAGTCGGTTAAGCGTCTGACTTCAGCCAGGTCACGATCTCACGGTCTGTGAGTTCGAGCCCCGCGTCAGGCTCTGGGCTGATGGCTCAGAGCCTGGAGCCTGTTTCCAATTCTGTGTCTCCCTCTCTCTCTGCCCCTCCCCTGTTCATGCTCTGTCTCTCTCTGTCTCAAAAATAAATAAACGTTGAAAAAAAAATTAAAAAAAAAAAAAAACAATGTTCTTTTGAAAATTCCTCCAGTTGATTCACCTAAAGCTCTTAGGCCAGTGCCTGGCCCAAAGCAAGCACTTGACAAATGTGGATTAATGTTAACATTGTACATCAATCTTTGCCTAGTTAGGCAAGCAAGTTAGGCAGCTTCCTAATAGTGTTAAAATTGTGATGAATGTTCCTGGCTCACTTTGGAAAGACCAGAATTTGAGCAGCACACTTGGAAAGATTAACTACATTCTGTTTTATTGCTTTATTCATCCGCCCCTAGTTGGAGACCATCGTGCTCACCCAATACTGTCCTGTCCCCACGCCAGTCCACGCTCCACAATAATTATAGTTTTCGGCATTTGGGCGCTCACCATGTGCCAGGAACCGTGCAGCGCACTTTGACGTGTTTTGCTTAAGTCAGTCAGCACAGTGACCCTCCGAGGTGGGTACTATTATTCCTGTTTTACAGGCAGGAAAACTGAAACTCAGAGAAAGAGAGGGACTGGCTTCAGATCACAAGACCCAAGTTGGGACTGCAATGTCCCAGGGAGGAAGGGGGAGCCCAAGAAAGAATTATTGGAGGGCCACTTTGAAGAGGTAAAAAGAGCCACAAACGTGGAACAGTAGAGTCTGGATTCCCTTCAGGACTATGAGAACTCTGTCTCAGGCACTGGACTACTTGCTGGGAATACAGCCTGTGGGAATACGACCTAGACCTTGGAAATTCACAGTTCAGTTACCAGAAGGCTTGCTGGTTGCTGCTGAAATAGAAAGCGGGATACAATTCTCAGGACTTACTATTATTAGAATAGGCACCCTCTACTTTGGGAAGCAAAGCACAGCCAGGGGTGTCGAGCTGACTTGTTCAGTAAGAGGGAGAAACAATGGGCCCGCAGGCAAAAGCCCTACTTCCTCTTTGAAAACCTCAAAAACTTCTCCAGTCCATCACCATGGCCACCTCCAAACGTTTGGCCAGCCGGCTGAACTCCTGGCTGGCCCAGCGCGTGGGTCCTGGATCTCTGTTGCATGGATAGTTTGAAGGACACCAGGTATGCAATCCAGGTCAGGAGGAGATCTGGGACCATCACTGGTTCAGAAGTTAAGCAGCTGTGTGCGATGTCACTCCGAGGACAGAGGTAAGGGTGGGGAGCTCCATGCTCTCACCTCCCTCTGCTCTGTGGTTGACACCTTCCTCCTTCTGCCTGACACCCACTTATCTCATCTCCCTGGACAGTCTGTCAGATGCAATGAGTTCGTTTTGGCTTCACACCCCAGGGCGGGGAGATCCTGAGATAGGGCGCACCAGCTTTCACATCTGCAGAACGGGCCTCAAATTCTTGCATCTTCTCCTGCATCTACCCATGACCTCCCGGTCCTGAGGACAAAATTAAGAGATGTCTTCAAACGACATCTGAGTCATTCCACCCATCCTCTCATCTCACCCTTTCCAAGTGGATAGGTGACACACTGGATTCAAATCCAGTAGGACCAATACACTCTTAACTGCTGTGCAACGCTACAGAGCATGCACGTGGATGTCCTTGGCACCCCAAGAATGACTAATGTCTTTATCCAACTCTCGATCTCGTTTTTGTGAGTTTGAGCCCAACATCGGGCATAGACATTACAAAAAAACTGTGTGTAATAAAAGACAAGTGTTGGCAACGATGTAGAGAAATCAGATGCTCTGCCAACTGAGCCAGCCAGGTGCCCTTTATTATCTATTTTTAAAACTTACAACCATCCGGGGTGCCTGGATGGTTCAGTCGGTTGGGCATCAGGCTGTTGATTTTGGCTCTGGTCATGATCTCATGGTTTGTAGGATCGAACCCGTGTCAGGCTCTGCACTGGTGGTGCAGACCCTACTTGGGACTCACTCTCTCTCTGTCTTACTCTCCCTCTCTCTGCCCCTTTCCCACTCACGTTCTCCCTCTCTCTCTGAAAATCAATAAATAAACATTTTTAAAAAATTACAACCATCCTAGTGCTGCTATGAACATGTGTATCCAGGTGCTTGTTTGAATACCTGTTTTCAGTTCTTCTGGGTATATGCCTAGGAGTAGAATTTCTGCGTCATATGGTAATTCTTTATTCAACTCTTTGAGGAACCACCAAACTGTTTTCCACAGCAGCCGCACCATTTTGCAGTCCCACCAACAATGTATGAGTGTTCCAATTTCACTACAACTTTGCCAACATTTATTTTACTTAAAAAAAAATGTAAAACCACACTTTCCTTTCTTGATGGAATCCTTTGAAGCACAAAAGTTTTTAATGTTAGGGGCGCCTGGGTAGCTCAGTCAGTTAAGCGTCCAACTCTTGCTTTCGGCTCAGGTCATGATCTCACAGCTTGTGAGATCAAACCCTGTGTTGGGCTCTGCACTGTTAGCGCAGAGCCTGCTTCATATTCTCTCTCTCCCTCTCTCTCTCTGCCTGTCCCCCACTCGCACGCTGTCTCAAAATAAGTAAATAAACTTAAAAAAAAATAAATTATTGTGTTTAAAGTGTGAAAAGACAACCCACAGAACGGGAAAACATATTTTCAAATCATATACCTAATAAGGAATTTGTATCCAGAATATATAAACAACATTTACAATTCAATAAGAAAGGAAAAATAGCCCAACTACAAATGGGCAAAAGTGTTCATTCAGACATTTCTCCAAGGAAGATGTATAAAT